GAGAGTTACAAAGGTTTTAAAGCAAAAAACCTCAAAGCAAAAGAGCCAGGTGTGGTGGCTCATGCCTGTAATCCCAGAACTCGGGAAGCTGAGGTGGGAGGATCGTTGTGAGTTTGAGACCAGCCTGGGCTACAAAGTGAGCTCAAGGCCAGCCTGAACTGCATAGGGAGACCTCGTCTCAAAAAAGACCAAAAACAAACAAACAAACAAAAAACCCTCAAAGCAAGACATTCTGTTTGGAATATTTTAACTAGAATCTTACATTAATTTTGGTTGACACCTGCATCCTGCTTCTTTGTTAAGCAGGCTAACTTCTTTCCTGTAGGTGCAACTTGACTGCTTTTCGCATGGGACTTGTGTCCTGAGTAATTTCTACTCTTCTATGTCAAATACAGGGTACAAGACGGCATCAAGTATGCCAAGCTACAACAGTTTTGTTCTGTTTTACTGTTTTATTTTATTCCCTTCAAAAGAGATAAAAGAAATCAACCAATAACAAATGCTGGAAGGACTATAGGGAAAAAGGAAGCCTTCTCCACTTTTGGTGAGATTGTAGGGTGGTGCAACCACTGTGGAAATCAGTGTAGAGATCCCTCATAAGTCATATCTCAGCAATACGTTGCACATCTACGTTTATTGTGGCACAGTTTGTAATAGTTAAGTCTTGGAAACAACTCAAACACTCACCAACTGAAGAATGGATAAAAAGCATGTGATATTTTTATACAATAGAGTATTTCTCAGCTACTAAGAAGTATAAATGAGGCAATAAATGGATACAATTGGAGACCGTACTCGTAAGTGTCCTTTTGCCTGCATCCTTCCCAAAGGTAAATAATATTTTGATTTCTTATCTAAAACCAGTTTTGCATGCTTTTGATTCTATTGTCTGAATTCTATGTGTAGATTCTTTTACTCATTATGTCTGGGAATTTCATCCATCTTGTTATGCATACAGTAATTTATTTTTCTTTGAAATTATGCCACAATTTCTGTACCTATTATGTTGCTAAACATAAATGTTGTTGTCAGTTTTGGACAATTAAAAATAGTGCTGCTAAGTATATTGTTATGCATGTCTTTTTGTGTACATACATTATCTAATGGCTATAGAGCTAGAAATAGAACTGTCCAATTTGTGGAATAGTCCACATACACTCTAAAATTTTTATATTTTCTATGTTATTCAGTGAAAGCCAAGTTAACAACCAAACTGTGGTTTTAGCCTTAAGAAGACTCTGATTTTAATTGGAAGTTTAAATACACAATGGAGTCAGATACTAGGATCTTCAAAATATGAACTACTCTATTTAAATACCCTTCTGAACATAGTAATCATAATAACACTGAACATGACTTACTAAACTTTAAATATAAAAAAGGAAGCTTATTTAAGAGCATGAATGCAAACTGATACAGTACGTGTGGTGATGGAATGACTTCTTTTACCTAAAAGTCTTTGTCTTGCCATTGACTTTGGATATGGCTACGTGATTTGCTTTGCTCATTAGGATATGGGTAGAGGTGAGAGTGCCTATATGGAAATACTATCTTTGAGGACATAGCAATTTCTTCCTGTCTCCTGGTTTGTCTTCTTGTTCTCATGAGAAAAACATATCTGTTGCTCTTTTAGTTTAGGTATGTCTAAATTGGCCGAATCCCTAGAGTCCAGGCTATTCAGGTGAGGTCAGCCAAGAATACAGCCAGTGTATCAGATCCAGAAATACCAGGTTAGTGTTTCTCTAAGATTCTAAGATTTTATGTTGTATATTGCACACATGTCACAGTAAAAGAAAGGTTGATAAACAGATATACTATTTAATAAACTTGTAACAAACCAGTGAAATAAATGTTATTGATGTTCAGAGAGATTAACTTAGCAGATTTGTTAATAAATCATTTATTCCTTGAAGCTAATATCTTTACCATGGCCTTTGCCTCCCTTCCTCTACACCTGCCCTACCCCAGTGCTCCTTTTTATTAAAATTCAATTAAAAAATAATCTTTTGAAAGCACAAAAAGGGCATTGGGAATAGGGAACAGCAGAGAAGGAGTAGCAAACTGAAGAGTTCTTATGGGCCAGGTACTTTGTTATGAAGTTTCTAAATCTTATTCCTTGCTTAATAATTTAATTTCTGATTTATTTGATGATGTGTACACATGTGTTTGTATGTGTGCATGCACATATGTGTGTGAACCTTGACACTATACTGACTGGTGTCTCCTAGCAAAATAACAAATGCATGCAAGTAATGGTGACTATGTGACCCAATTTTTAAGAATAACAAGAAGACAATGGATAAAAGTTGTACCATATCACAATATAATTATCTAAGATTAAAGAGTGTTCATCTTTGGAAGCATTCTTTTACCTTTCTAAAGAATTTTTTGATTTAAAACTTGGAAGTTTTTCAACCAGCTGTCAACTACTGTTTTACACTATTTTAAGAATAATGCACATAAAGAAAAGAAATATTGAAAGAATGGATTAAACAGAGAGATTTCTTGAGTTTCCAAGGATGTGGTGATACAAAAAAGCATATTCAGTTGACTGCAAAAATAAACAACAGGAGGAATATAGGGTCAAATCCAAGGTGAGACATATTTCTTGACATGGAAAAGAAAAAATGAAGTACAAAGGGCATTCTGCCCTCAACAATATTAAATAAAGGAAGTTATGTTCTGAAAAGTAGGGTCAGATTTGCGCCAGGAAGGAAGAAGTAGGTGTGTGTTTTGAAAGGTGAAGAGTGGCTGATGTCCAGATGGCAGAGAGCAGTCAAAGGAGGAATCAAAAGAATTCAAGACACGTTTCACCATTTGCCAAAGCAGTAGTCTACCCAAGTTTATTCAAGATTTAATACTTTAAATTGAGGTGAAGCTGTAACTTTATACATTTAGAATCTGAGAAAATTAAGACTGCCCACAGTTATAAAAAGAACATCTGGAAAGAAACGTGTAAGACTGCCCATTGCCTCTACATATTCTGTAAGATGGATTCAATTTCTCTTTTAAATTAATAGTTTATCTTAGTAACGGCACAGCTCACAGACCATGTAGTAACTAGATGGAGCAATGGTCCCACATGTTGAACTAATTCTCTTTAGTTTATCAAATCAAATTTCCTTTTCTACTTCTGGCTTCTCACAATTTGTTTAAAGCTGCCCTTGGCTTACTTTGTTAAACCGAAGGATATAAATAGAGTTAAGGAATGCAAATATGAAAAAAGATAATTTAAAGTTACATAATGTACCTTTTCTTTTACTATTTTGCTTTTTTACTATTCTGTCTATAATCTCCATTTTTTGCTATGTCTTTAAAGCTCTACTTTTGTCTCTGACACTCCATGTTACTCATAATAAGTTTTTATCTTATACATTCATTCGTTCAACTAAGAATGACTTTCTGAACTTTTTGTTATTTAATTTAGTAAAATATACCTTGAAATTGATCTTCTGTTTGTGGCATAAACTTGGCAATACTGTACTACTGTGGTCATCTAAAGGGGAATATAATATCCCTCGACAGAAGGAGTTCTGTCTTGGCATTTCATGAATGCTCAGTAATTATGAGTTACCGATTCATAAGTCTACATGGCTTTGGTTGCTTTCCATCAGTAATCAACACCATGAAAATACCTACACATTCAGCAAACCTCTGGAAATGTATCTTTTTCACCATTTAGTTTTTACCTACTCATCTATTTTATAATAACATGGTAAATACCTTTTGGTGATTATAAAAATGAGCAGCACCAAATTATTACTGAAATAATCATAGACTAAGAAGGGATATTAAAATGCAGTTTTCTTCACTCATGCTTAGTGAAAAGTAGTACCACATTAGAGAAATGAGCATTCACTACTTTGTTTGTGTGTATACATTTACCAAGCCAAATTGTTGGTAAAACACTGCCAATTTTTAAAAAATAAAACTGCTAATTGTAAGGGTTTGCTGCCAGGAAAATACCATAATGTAGATTGATTTGATCCTTTCTCAAATGTAAGAATCATGTCTTTCATGACAGTAAGAATCATGAAGCCAAAAGGTCAGTTTAATTTTGAGATTTAACCAAAAGAGAAAATATCTCAAAAGACAAAGCATGTGAAAAATATGGATTTCAATACTATATTAATTTAACTAAGCTTGGTTAACCCAAATACCATCATGCCTGCTGAGATGATTATATATTCTGAGAAAATATTTCCAACTATTTTGTGAACTTCACAAACACTATTTTCTTTTTAACTCAAGGCTATTTCTAGATTACCAAAACAAGAATATCTTTTGCTTCTAGACTCAAGTCTGATAAGATCATGATTTAATTAATATTATTCAATTAATTCATAAAATAGAAAAGTCAGGACACACAAACTTTTCCTCACATGAACAGAAGCCCTTTCTTATGTTTTCATGGTTGAATTACTCCTTTTGTAAGTGGAGGAATTAATAAATTTACAAATAAGTTCCCACCTTTTAATTTTTATGATGGATTTAAGTTGAATATTTAGAACTTTAATCAAAGAATCTTCCACTTAATTGGCCTTCCAAAAGCATTAAAAAATTAGAAAATAGGTCCAGTCATGAGTGAAAGTTGATATTTCAAATAAGATCTTCTAGTAGTGACATGAAACTATCAGCTGTTAGAAATAGCAATGTTTATTACCACAGTTAGATCATTGTGATTGGAAAAGCCTGATGGAATTAGTTTTAATAAAAGCTGCCTTCCGTGGCTTTTCTGTGACTTTAAACCTTCTAAGTTTATCTTTCTTCAGAGATTACATCCAACACTGAGCACCATGAATAGTAATGTTGGATCATTTTCAGCTGGATCATTTTCATATGTCTTTTTAAACAACTTTATTAACAACTGAAGTGTTCATCATGTCAAGAAGACTAACTTGGGGTGAGGTGAAGGCAGTGGTAGGCGGTGGTTGCTCCTGGGTCTCTGACTGGGGCTGGCGGCTAGTGGTGGAGCAGGCGGCTTGAGATAGCTCTGGGGAGGACTCAGGTGGCTAAGCTGGACATTTAAAATTGTTTGGAGTCAATACTTTGATTCCAGCCATGGGTTTGTCAGCATCTACTCCTGCTGTTGCAGTTCAGACCCCAAAAGCTTCAGATCATTAGACAGCATCACCACCTTCAGGATGCCCAATGCATGAAAGGAAAAGTCAAGGCTGTCCAGTAAGTGAGGAACCATCTAGTCCAACTAGTGACAGCAAAACTTACTCTGTGCCTGCCCACCAGGATCGAGCGTACGACTATGTGGAGTGCCCCTTTACCCATGCCAGGGCCGATAAGGAGAACCTGGATCCTTCAAATCTGATGCCACCACCTAATCAAACACCAGCCCCAGATCAGCCGTTTGCTTTGTCTACGGATAGAGAAGAATCATCCGTTCCAAGAGCAGACTCTGAGAAAAAGTGGGTCTGCCCTTCAGAACAGATGTTCTGGAATGCAATGTTGAGGAAAGGGTGGAAGTGGAAGGATGAGGATATTAGTCAGAAAGATATGTATAATATCATAAAGATTCACAATCAGAATAACGAGCAGGCCTGGAAGGAGATTTTGAAGTGGGAAGCCCTTCATGCTGCGGAGTGTCCTTGTGGTCCCTCATTGATCCGATTCGGAGGGAAAGCAAAGTAGTATTCACCAAGGGCCAGAATTCGTTCCTGGATGGGGTATGAGTTGCCTTTTGACAGGCATGATTGGATCATCAACCGCTGTGGGTCGGAAGTTAGATACCTGATCGATTACTACGATGGTGGCGAAGTGAACGAGAACTACCAGTTCACCATCCTGGATGTGCGCCCCGCCTTGGATTCGCTTTCTGCTGTGTGGGACAGAATGAAGGTTGCTTGGTGGCGCTGGACGTCATAACCAATGTTTTGTTTGTGATGGAAAAATATAAACTATTTTTTTCTGAAGGGTACATTATACTATTTCCCTAAACTGAGTCCCACTCATGATTTAAGAAGAGTTTGAAGTGGGCAGACACATTTCATCGTTTACTTAGTGAGAGAGACACCCTCTCCATTAACCTCTGAGTCCTGTTGGCCTTGCACTCCATAGCAGACCATTTTAAGCTTTCCTCCCACTTCATTCAGGTGGGCAGCAGTCTTTTGGGTTTCCCTTTAACTTCGCTATTGCTTGTTTAGTTCGTCTAAAAAAGTCTTAACTTCTGTAAAAGCACTTTTGAAAAATGTTCAGAGTTGTCTTGTTTTTTTCAGGAATGAGATGTAAAACCTGAAAGTCAGTGCAATGCTCATGAACTTTTTCCTGGTCAAGTATTATAACTGAAACTTAGAAACAAGACATAGTTACACTTTTTAAAAAATGACCAGCAATTCTAAAGCCCCTGCAATGTAGTAGTAACCCTGAACGAAATGCAAAGGTATATACTGCAAATGTATTCAGCAAGAATACGCATGTCTCAGCTCTCCAAATTTCCATTAAGTGAGTTTTTCACACTGGACCTTGTTATAGAAATTTAAGCCACCGGGAAGCAGTAATCCACATATTTTGAACATGTATTTTAACTTTAAATTTTTCCTCTTTATTCCTATAATTCTAATTTGTAAGTCTGCTTCCCCCAAAACAGGTATCATTGTCCCTGGCATTTGACAGGTCATCCCCACTTGGAGCTCCATCCCTTCCCAGCCGGGGAGCTTTCCTTCCAGTCCAAACCCTGAGAGCACGGCTGAAGTCACAGAGCCAGAGCTGATCCCTCTGTAAACCATGAGGACATTTGCTGTGGGTTAAAGTTCACAAGAAGAGTGTTTTTTCTCAAATGTAGAGTATTTGCATCAATTCAGAGTCTTGAATTTGTTTTTGTTTTAAGGAACCTCTAAATTTGCTGTTGGAATTCTTTGTTTCGGTAATCCATGGACTGGTTATTCTAATTATAGCAGCACATTGCAAATGATTGTTTTTTCTTCATTGCTGTTAACATTAAATCTTTCATTTTTCCTGAAAACTAGTGTTAAATTAGTGGATGGAACTGGCAGTCTGAATGATTATCTTGTTGTGGATTTCTCTGTTATGTCCATTCTGTGTGGGATTTTTAAAAATCAACAATTTTAAGTTGTACATGTCAAATATTTATATTTTTTAAATAAAGCTGATAGTTAATGGTTTTGAAAAAAAAAGAAGACTAACTTGGCAGGGTGCCATTTTTGCAGACAAGCATCATATGATAATATCTACCCCATCAAGGTGGAGTACCTAAAATGTTCAAGTATAGCCTGAAGAAAAAGTAGCCAACAGAATCCATGTGCTTGACCACAGAGTCTCTTCATTCTTGCATTCTATTACCAAAATATCTCTGCTTGGCATTAAATGTTCTTGCTAATTGACCAACAAGTTAGCACCTAATAAATTCACACATATTTGAAAACAGTATAAAACAGGTGCCATTTTATATAAAGAAGTTGATTGTATCACTCAATAAATGGTACCATGAAAATTGACTTCTTCATGGAAAGATGAACTTATATTCAATGCCACAAATAAAAAATAATACTAATTCCATTAAGGACAAATGTGGGAGGCATAAAATATAATAATGTAGAAGTATATTTTAATACCAAGTAGGAAGAAAATTCTTGAGTGAGATAGAAAAATCACAATTTAAAAAATCTATTTTGATCAGGATGTAGAGAAAGATATCTTCCCACACTGATATTATTCAGATATGTTGTAGGCAAGAGCTCTGATAAGCATATATGATTACTGGTAGAAATTTATGTATGGTAAATAAATTATAACACATGCATAAGAAGAACACACCAAATTGGGATAGAAGTTACTTTTCAAAACAAAAGGTGAAAGAGGAATGTAAACAGAAGAGACATACATAAAGCAGTTTTTTCTGCATATATTATTTTTTAATTGGTAAAGACATAGTGACAGAGAGATGGAAAGATTTGAACCAAGAGGATATTCTTACATTGTGATTGTGTGAGTTTTTCAGCCTCCTCACCTATATTCTCCTACAGCAATCTCCTGCCAGAGCTCCCATCTTTAGTATCACTATAAATGACCATAGTAATTGAGAGAAAGATCATTTTTTCACTTATCATACGATGAAACAGAAGTTGAAAGACATTAACTGACAGGGTGGTGGATGGAATCTGAACGGGAGATTTAGTTCAAGCTTTGCTATTTATGAGAAACTCAAAAAAAGTCACATAGGTTCACTGAGGTCCTCTGAGTCTTAGTTCACCCAACTCTAAAAGAGGAAGTAGTAACAACTTCAGCAGAAAGGCGTTGTGAAAGTCAAATGAAGTACAATGTACTCTCTTGAGGATAGATACATTCCTTTAGAAGAGACATTCTATTCTGATTGTGAATTTGTATTCCTAAATTTCTCATTTCTTTGCAAAATGTCTTATAACTAATAACACTCAATACTGACTCTATCCACATAGAAACCTGGAAACTAACTAGAATTAGTAGGTCTTTCGTACAATAAATTCTCTTGCAAATACATTAATTCTGCTGGATTTACTGTACATGATCTGACTGTGCCTCTCTAAATGCTTGATGCTCCTGGTAATGCTAATGAGAAGCGATGATACCCTTAAGATAGAGGGCCTGCTGTGACATCCTAGGTCACAGGGGTTATGCTCTCTAAAGGTAGTTTTCACACAACCCCTTCTCCCTGTCTCTCTCCTCTTGGCCTTGAGATGTAACTGCTGTGTTATGCATTGCCACTGTGGCTGCCTACTTTCTGCCAATTGCCATGACACCCTCTCCAGAGCTGAGCGAATTCAGTCATCATCCCCTTAAACCTCCAAAACTGTAAGCTAAGTAAACCTATTTCTTCATAAGTAGCCTGTGTGATGCATTTTGTTATAGTGGCAAAAAAATGAATAACACACCCATTAAAGAAGGAAAGGATCCCAGAGTGATTCAGGAAACTAAAATATTTATCTACTTCTACATGAAACATGTCTATCACATTTTTTTATTATTTGAGTAAATAATCTTCATGGCCTCTTCATATGACAACAGTTTTGTTATGTTTCACAAAAAACACTAGAAACATTTTCATTTTTCCTTCAGTGTAGTTTATCAAAGAACCACTTCCAATGTGGATAGCTAGCAATAACTATACCTAGAAGGAATGCCAATTCCATAAGCGTACCTCTCTACCATCCAATTCTATAAAAATGGTCCACCTCATCTCCTATTTATCCAGAATTCTCTGAGGTACTTCATCATCACTGGATAAGAGTAGAAGTGTGTTGTAAAGACAGGATGAAGTCAGAGGTCTTTAAAATTGTCATCAGAATGCAACATTTGGCATATTTTACAAAAACATAAGATATGTGAACATATTGTCAGTACTTGTTCTGGTATCCTGAAAAAGGTCCAGACGAGTCATGAACCCTAAATCTTTGAGGGTAATCTGCCTGCATGCATCCCATTAGGAGAGCTCTGTTCTTTTATTTTAACGTGCCCAGTTACATAGTAAAAAACAGACTAAGTCAGGAAGTCTAAAGGGTTAACAGGAGGAGGAGCTCCCCTCCTGGTCCTCTTAGTCCGTGCTGGCCTGGTAATAGTCTTAGTTAATGAGCCTGCCTGAAAGCTAGAGAATTTCAAGTCTTCTCTCCACAGCAAACTTCTACTGTTAAAGAAATTAAAGTCCAAACGTCTTGTTACTGATACTTTAAGTCATAGAGACTGATAGAGATGGCGTCTGTTATCTTTGGAGAGACTGTGTGTGCTCTTTGATGTTATATTAGGTATTTGGAAGGTATTTCAACATCCTGAGGTTACAGCAATCTGACCTGCAACTACAGAAACTGAGATTAAAACAATAAACAAACAAACAAAACTGTTCAGTATGGGGGAGGTCTCTTTTACCCAATCTTTTCATGTACTGTGTGGAATTCAGAAGTTTAAAGAATCAAATGCATTCTGGGTCACTATCATGGACTAACACATATGTTATTAGAGCCAGACATTACTTTTGGCACAGAGGTTAAGGAGAGCTCAATGTGAAATCCAGCTTGCATTTGCCTTTCCATTTAGGCCACAAGGAAGAGGGAGCTGGGGGTTCAAACAGGGACAGCTTCACAGGATGGCAACTTGAAGAAAAAAAAAAAAAAAACTTGAAAACCACACCACAGCCATCCTCACACTAACCTGGCCCTGTGGAGCTCTAATTCCAGTAACACCCTTGGACTGAATCCACTCTTCCCAAGGCTCTCTCCCAAGACTGAGTGAACTGAAGAGTTCCTTTTTGCTCAAAAGAGACACTGAAAAACAACATTCAGCAATATGGTTCTTGCAGGCAGTTGAGCAAAGGGCACAGTAATTCCGCCTCAAAGAGCAGAGTACTTCTTCCTGATTCTGTGGTCTCATATCACCAGTAGAACCACCCTGCAGTTACCAAAATTCCCATTTTCTTAATGCAGACCTGGCAAAAATTGGTTCTTTATGTGACTATAACAGGTGCATCATATACTACGCATGTATAGCATGGCTCTGTGTTTCAAATTTATTCCATATTTCTAATATTTTTTGCAGTCAGGCAATTCACAGAACATAGAAATGTGACAATCTCTATCAGCATTCCATTAGTCATGACAACAGTCTGGGTTTGAGACAAAGCAGGGTGAAATAAATATTTTCCTCATTGTTTAAGTTTCAAAATAATTATTTTCACATTTGTGTAAAGGAACATCAAAATAATATGCTGCATGTTATAAATTAGAAAATCAAAAATATAAGAAAATCAATGTTGTTTCTTTCCTCTAATCTTCAAATGACTAATTTTCTATTGGCTGTTAGCCAGTTGACACATTATATTTATTAAGACACTGTAAAAGCAAGAGGTAGGAGATCAAAAAGTCACAGAAGGTCACTTAATCTTTTAATGGCTAAGTGATCTGGTGGC